AAAATGATTAATTTCTGTAGGGAAATATGGTTTTTGCAATTACGCTTCGCCCGTCGGTATGACAAATGAATGAAGAATTCATCACGATTGAGATCGACATGGAAAAGTTGGGGCTTAATTTTTGGCTTTATTTTTTACTTAATCTACTTATATTAAGAAAAATAAAGGCAAAAATCTCATTTGTGATGAATTTTTCACGAAACGATGTTTTAAATATTATTATGTAATTAAACTCGCGACGAATAAAAGAATCATCACAATTGAGATGGGGTGGGTGGGCGGGGCTTATATTTTCTTTTGTTTCTTAATCTACGTAGCCATATTTCACAACAATAACTTGAAACATGTTTAAAATGGTATATTTCTGCAAGGAAATTGGCTTTATTTTTTTCTTAATATACGTGGTATTCTTTGACCAACACGATACTCAAAAACATGTTTTTAATTATTTTTTTAGAAAAATCTGGATTTATTGTACTGCACTTCAGGAATGAGGGAAGTTTTGTCAAAATAACCTTCGAACCAATTTTAATTCCCGAGCGTAAGCTAAGGAAGTATCGTAACAATAAATATACTTTTTTGTTTACGAATGCGCATTTCGTTATAATCACAATTATTTTATAAAAATGTTTCTGCAATATTCGCTGCGTGTTCTGTATAACCAATAACTCGCGCGTGTCCGAACAATAGCTCGTCTAGTGAGGTTCGAATCTCGTTCGCATCCTCATTAAATCTTTTTTTTACAAAATCAAGAACGCTTCACCCCATTTACTCGAAATTGCTGTCACACCGCAAATAATTTTTATTACAATAACACGCAAAATAATTTTCGGCAGTTTTGCTGTAGTAATCGGTGTATCCACGCTTCTGATTTAGGGAGACAAAAAATCAATCGAATTTTATTTTCTTTTATGCGGCCGCTGATGCTTGTACGTGATTATAGTCGAATCTTTCGAAGGATAAATATAAATGCTTGTTCCATATTGGCGTGTAAAGTTAGGTTCGGTTAGGTGGTCCACCAAAATAATATAAATAAAAATAAACTGGCCGATTGCTGAATTACCTAACCTAAATATAAACATAAATAATCGAAGTTAATCATATACCTACTATTTCACAAAAATCTTGTCCGTCAAAGATTAAACACTGAGAGCAGAGATCCATATATTCATATTAATTACATGAAGAGCTAGTGATTATTACGTATTATTTAACAGACTTCATTAATATTCTTTTGTTTTTAATGAAAAACAACTGAAATTGTTTCACAAGAAAAGATAGCGATGTATATTAAGAAAAAAAAAGGCAAAATATAAACCCCGCCCACCCGCCCTATCTCTATTCTGATGATTTTCTTTATTCGTCGTAACCCGAGAGGCGGATCCTAATTGCAAAATCCATATTCCCTTACAAAAATTTACTATTTTAAAAGTGTTTTAAGATTCTAAGAATAAAAAAAATCATCGCAATTGAGATGGGGTGGGTGGGCGGGGTTCATATTTTGCCCTTTTTTCTTAACATAGTTAGTATTTTTTGAAGAACACAATAGTCAAAAACATATTTTTAATTCTTGTAAAGAAATAAGTATTTTTCAGGTAAGCTCCGCCTCCTTGGTTCATGATTCATAAAAAAATCATCACAATTGAGATAGGGCGAGTGGGCGGGGCTTATAGTTTGCCTTTTTTTCACAAGATGAAACCTAAACACTTAAAATTTGTATGAGGAAGTATTGATTTTGCAATTGGGCTTCGGCCCATAATTGTCAAAACCACATTTCCTTGCAAAAATGTACCATTTTACCTGTTTTTTTTTTGTTTCTTGTTGTGAAAAGATGGGTATGTATATTAAGAAAAAACAAGGTAAAATATAAGCCCCGCCCACCCGCCCTGTCTCAATTCTGATGATTTTCTTTATTCGTCGTAACCCGGGAGGCGGATCCTAATTGCAAAATCCATATTCCCTTACAAAAATTTACTATTTTAAAAGTGTTTTAAGATTCTAAGAAAAAATCATCACAATTGAAATGGGGTGGTTGGGCGGGGTATATATTTTCCCCTTTTTTCTTAATATACATAGTATTTTTTGAAGAACACAATACTTAAAAACATGTTTTTAATTTCTTGGAAAGAAATAAGTATTTTTCAGGTAACTTCCGCCTCCTTGGTTCACGATGCATAAAAAAATCATCACAATTGAGACAGGGTGGGTGGGCGGGGCTTATATTTTGCCTTTTTTTCTTAATATACATAGCCATTTTTCCACAACATGAAACTTAAAACACTTAAAATTTGTATAAGGAAATACTGATTTTGCAATTAGGCTTCGCCCCATAATTCTAAAAACCATATTTCCTTGCAAAAATGTACCATTTTACCTGTTTTTTAGTTTCTTGTTGTGAGAAGATAGCTATGTATATTAATAAAAAAAAAAGGTAAAATATAAGCCCCGCCCACCCACCCTGCCTCAATTCTGATGATTTTCTTTATTCGTCGTAACCCGGGAGGCGGATCCTAATTGCAAAATCCATATTCCCTTACAAAAATTTACTATTTTAAAAGTGTTTTAAGATTCTAAGAATAAAAAAATCATCACAATTGAGATGGGGTGGTTGGGCGGGGTATATATTTTCCCCTTTTTTCTTAATATACATAGTATTTTTTGAAGAACACAATACTCAAAAACATGTTTTTAATTTCTTTGAAAGAAATAAGTATTTTTCAGGTAAGCTCCGCCTCCTTGGCTCACGATGCACAAAAAAATCATCACAATTGAGACCGGGTGGGTGGGCGGGGCTTATATTTTGCCTTTTTTTTCTTAATATACATAGCCATTTTTCCACAACGTGAAACTTAAAACACTTAAAATTTGTATAAGGAAATATCGATTTTGCAATTAGGCTTCGCCCCATAATTCTAAAAAATCTACCATTTTACCTATTCTTAAGTTTTTTGTTGTGAAAAGGTGGCTATGTATATTAAGAAAAAAAAAGGCAAAATATAAAATAGGAAATCTTACTAGGAACACCGGTCTTTATCAATATTTATAGTTTTGGAATAATTGTTAATCGAGGCTCCGTTTGATCATCAATGGAGAAGTGTGAACTGACACTCCGCGCCAGACCAAATATAAACAAGTCAGTAGAGCGTGTTTTCGGGACATAATGCGTTCGAATCAAGGGCTGTGGCGGAGTATGGGTGATTAAAATATGAAAAGCTCTACAAGTTTTTTTTCCTACACTGTGATTGGTGTTATCTATATTACGTTTTCTAAACAAATGGATTTATTTAACTGTATTTCAGGGGAGAGGGAAGTTCTATCTTATAACATAAGATCACTATTAGTCATTTAGGAGTGAAACAGTGTATTTGACATTTCGGAAATGGATTTCGTAATTTTTTAAATAAAATTTAATTTTTAATTCCTTGGTTATTGTGAAACCTGATCGGGAGCGTATAAGAGGCAACCAGGTCATATTTTGGTTTTGACGTTATAATTGATAAAGTTATTAGTTTTCCGTTTCTAATGGAGTTTTCGGTGCGTTTTGAATCGTGAAAATTTGCTTTTTAAAAATTGCGAGTTCCGTAGGTGGGTTCGATATTCGTCGTTCGGAGATGACCGTCCCTAGGGCTAGCCGAAGAACCTTCTTGTCAAATCGCATGAATGCGTTCATCAGCTTCGGACTATGTTTGTCAACTTTTGATTTACACCTTTTCAGCCGCAATTCCTCAATTCCGTATTCTTCCCGCACGTTGATTTTGTCAATAAAAGCTATCGTTGCATGTCACACCGCCGAGATGCAAAAGTCGCCAAGAACCTAATTTGTGCCACCTACTTACTCGAATGTGACTTGAAATAAGAAATAATATCTTCTCGAGTCGGAGAGTAGGAGGCCGTAACGATTGCGTTGGGCGAGAAAGCGAGACGGACAGCTCGCGAGGGGAATGCTAAAATACGCTGGGGTTGGCACTTCTTTTGATTTCCCCCACACCATTTTAACTTGGCTACTTTATATACTACCTTTTCCGCGACGAGTGTCTCTTTCTGTCCCAGTTATTGCTACTTCTCTGTCTCTTATTGACTTCCGATCATCCTGAGAAATAGTAAAGACGCGTTTTGCCAAAATTATATATTCACCTAAAACGTTCATAAAGTTTCGGGATGAACGGAGCCCGGAATTCTTTCGGTTTTTCTTTCATTTATTCCGATATTCTATTTTTGCATTATTCAAATTAACCCGAGCAGGATTAGTATTAGTACCCTATACACCGCACCCTCGACTCACCTCGTTGTTTCTAATAACCTTGAGTTTGTGTTTCTGCGTATGTCTGTGACATTACGCACGAAACGTGTGGCATAAGCAAAGTTATCGGATGTCAAACTTGTATTCATAAAACGTCTTTTTTGATTAAAAAAGCTTTAGGAACTGTTACACAGACGACTGCGTTCGCATCAGCATCAGGGGTCTCCGCTCGGGTCTCGTAATACAGGCTTTTCACAGATACACCCTTATAATAAGTTTGCACCTTTGTGGCATGAGGGGTGCCAGAATCGCGAACAGTTAATATGAATACTGATTTCTTTTTTCCCAAAGGAGCGACCACGCTATCGATAGAGGTTTTATCACTTCTGGTATTTATTTCGACTGTTATTTAGAGCCTTCTCCCACATTATCTTGAAGCTCCTTTATTTCTGCGGCTAAATCGTTAAATCTCGGCTTTTTAGCCCGCGGTTTCGTTCGCTTTGTACTTGCATGCAGATTAAAACAACACAAACAATGTGAGAGGATGTGTCAAATGCAAAAATTTTGACCGCTTGAAGCGGTGCCAAGATAGACGATTGAGTGGTTTAATAGCTTTGTGTACAATTTGAGATTAGATCTGAGTCCTTGTAAATAAACTCGAGTAAAAAATGTGTATTATTCTATTATTTGTTTGTTTATTTTAGAAAAATGGAGATAAGAGGATTCATGTCGTGTTTTTATGATTACGAGTCGCATTGTGTTGGCGGTGTAGTTTCGTGGATCATTAAAATTTCGAAAAAATAATGCTCCGCGAGATTTATTTTGCGTGTTTACGGGAGCGAGATTGATTTTGGTGAAACAAAGTGGACATGAAATGCGCGTGTAATCCGCCCCTGTGGAATCTCCAGTCGAGGCAGGTGTAGTTGGTTTGCTTTTGCATTTCTCTAAACTCTAAATATAACTGAGTAAACAACATCTCTCATACGGGCGAGGCGAAGCAGACATGTAAACAGTAAACAACATTATGTGCCGCACGAACGTGTGCCTATACTCAGTATGTTCTCGACTAGAATTGCTTCCACGTCGATGTCGGATGGTGTAACTATTTCATAACCTCACTTTTTAAAATTCCCGCTTCAACGCGTCGTGTTACGTAACCGAGTGAAATGTGAACGATGACGATTTTCAAAATTTGGTGAAAGTGAAATGTGACACTTTTTTCGCACATCTTCCCCTTTAATCACACTATTTTACAAACACTACCAAACTGAAGGTTAGTTTATCCATAACGAACAAATTACAATTAAAACAAAAATAACACTAAAGCATAAATATATAAATAAATATGTGTTTCTTTTTGAGCCGGCCGCAAACTCTCGCGCGTGAATGACTAGCCCTATCCTCTTCATTTTTTTTTACTATTACCGGTACTGTCGACGGTACCTCTCCAGTACTACCACTCTTCGAAAAATTCAAATCGCTCGAACACCCCACAATTACAAAATTTCGTGTCGCAATCCAAAACACTTAGTTGTGTTCGAATATTTATCTGAAACGAATTATAGCAATCGTCAGATGAGGTCTCTTCACCCTGCCCAAGCTGCTTAAGTAAATATACTTGCATCTGGCGTGAGCAAGCGCTCAAAGTATAAATCACACTGTCGAAATACTCTTCCTTTGTACTTTTCTTTACTAACACCGATGCGGCATTGTCAAAATTTTAACCTCAACGGAGTCGATTTTGGCGATTTTTCACACACAACCAAGTCGAACTAAAAACGTAAAAGAAAACGAATTATTTGGAGCGCTAAGTCGGAAAATAGGACACCACATGATGGTCGTGTATTGTCAGTTGTTTCGTTGTGGTTGATGTAAATATAATTTGCTCTGATTTATAACGAATTTTCTTAAAAAAGTAATTGTTTATTTTGATTTTCCTACATAATAGTCTACAAATATCTTCAAAAAATAGTTTATATTATGCATATGAAAGAAAACAGATTTGTTTACCAAGTAAATTTTTGCTTAGAAGTATCGTGTGAAATAAAGTAAATATTAAGAGTAAGCAATTGCGTTGGTTGTATAAATATGCAAAAATACATCTCGTTACTTTAATAAATTGTATTTTAAATATATCTTAAACCGTTTCCTTGGAATATGTGTTGAAGTATTCGACAAATAAATTTATTGTACAACAATTATAGACTGGAATGTCAAAATTTTAACTTTGAAGCGACCCACAAGATCCGCAATTTTTACTATTAAATTTTTATCACCCGCACGTCACACTTTACCCTCGCTTCCTCTACCCGACACAACACAATTCATCAATACAATTAAACTGCACAAAATGTATCAACCCCCGAAAAATTTGCCCCCACTGCAGACGTTATATAAAAACTGTAATTAGGCCCGTTCCACTATATTCGTCCTTATATACCTATTACCAAGGGGATTGGAACCCTAATGACCTTGAATGTCAAGTGAACTTCGAGGAAGCAAACAGCGGAAGTTGGCAAGGGAGTTGTTGGTCACTTTTCTGATTTCGTTCTAATTTTCATCGACGACTTCGATAAGAAAAAATGTTAAACGGTTTTGGTCGAGAAGACCCTTTGCTGATTAAGTGCGAAGGGCGGTATTTCCACAACACAAAGATTCGTGCGAACTCAGCATCCGAGTCGTAATGAGATGCGGTCTTCGATTCAGAATAAATGTCAGTTACGCTTAGACGATACTTTTGTTCCTGTTAATTTTTAGTTTGTGCGAAACTTGTATTGAATTGTACAGACTCGACACCACCCGGAAACCCCCTATTTAGACTAGTATAAAATAGTAAAATCGTGGTTTAGTTTGAAATTGTGTGACTGTTTTGTTCGTTTCCTGTGCAAAGTGAATCACTGCATTTCACTCGCAAGTGAATCAAAAACCATTTGAAGATAACTGATTCCAGAAATACACTATCTACTAGCGATTCAAATATTTTGAATTTAATCAGCATTTTTATAGCTGAGTCAGTTGAGTCTGTTGTGTTTTGTATATTATTTTTTTGTTGTCGCAGGTGTACCTTTCGTATTTTAACGGATAACACGTTCACATTTACAATAAACACACTTGTAGTAGATGCAAATAACCTCTAAAAGTAAACACACTTCTAGTTAATATCAATTTAATATTGTTATTATGTATCATAGTCATAGCTGACGCTTTGTATATGGTATTTTTGTTATTTCTAGCGTTTCGTGTCGTATAATTAAATAATTCTTTATATGTACTTTAATGACTATTGCAAGGCAATCATTTGTGCTGCTTTTGTTCATCATGTTGTCATAATTGTCACCTTCGAATGTTTAATACGATTGTAATGTACTTTTGCAGCCAGTTTAGCTCACTCTGATTCGACGTGTCGGCATATTTTTTGTATTAAATTAAACATTTCGTTCTCTTTTGACTAATTTGCACACCGTTTTTGTGTAAAAATTGAGAATAATCTCGCTAATCATAAATTATGGTTGAAAAAATACGTTAATGCTAGAACTGAAATGTTTATCCCAAACGCTTTTTACGTGTTTAATGAATATTTAGATGAATGAACACACATTCACGATATACATAATATATTACTCAGTAAGTGTTCTTATTTTCCTAGAAAATGTATAAATTTTTTAATGTGTAATAAACAGATTTTTATTATAAGCGAAACGTACAACTAAGAGGTTTTAATCTATACGATTAGTTTCATTGCTGTCATTATTTAACCAGTTCCATACTTTCTAAAAAGTACTATATTTTTTTGCTAATTCTGGTGTTGAGATGCTAAAATGTTGCATTTATAGTTCGCAGACCTAAAATTTGTAGTTATTGTGTCTGCGTTGTCCAAGACTTACTAATCCAGGTTAACAAGGCTTTCCATGGAATTTTAGCGACACCGGGATGCATTAATTAAATTCGCAGATCACACACACCTGGATGACTGATGTGACGCTTGACAACAATTTATAGATGTCTTATTGCATTATTAATGTATAGAGTTAACGGTTTCATTTCTTATTCAGAAAATAAGAGCTGAAATACGTGCGTATAATAAGTAATAGTTTCTCCGTCGATTTAATGTGGTTAGTGTTTTTTTGTGTTTTTGCAGATAAGAGCGTTATTTTCACGTTGGTTTTTAGGAAATGGCGTGTAGTCGGAAAAATCCACGTTTATCGCTGCATACGCGTATTTAAAAACGGCGTCGTAAATTAGAGGGAGCAGGAAAGGACGCGTCTGAATAATGCAATCTTACTGTGTACGCTTCCTCCGTTGTTAGTCCGCTAATTTGAACAATAGCCGATATCGCCACCCCTCTAACCGGACAATCCGGAACTATCCGGGAAGGAGGCGGCGATGTTTTATAGTAGGAACAGGCGGCAAATGAAATTATAATATCTTTTTCAACTAAACGCAATGTCCCGTATAAATTTCCTTCTCCCCGACTCCAACATTATAAAATATAAACCTTTAAGTTTGCGGCTCGCTTTATTTTTCTCGCGTTTAGATTGTTTTGCTCTTCCTTTTCACGCTATAACTCGACTCTTCATCAAATAAACTGCACGCCTGTGCAAATTTTCTTCGTTTTGACTTCGTTAAATAATTCACCTCTTTGTTGATGAATGACTATCCTGTTTTTCTCGGCTCTTTTTCTCGTTCTTTGCGGCTTGCACTTGCTATTAGCTGGAAAGAACGTTTTGCCTGCAACTTTGCACCATTTTTATAGCAATGTTTTGCAGGGCCACATCGGAGACGTTCCATTTGAAAGTGCCGTTGGCTGGAGCAAAAACCACTTTTCTGCGGCTACTACTCCTTGGCCTCCCGCACTCAGGCATTCAAGATACAGTGTAAGTTTTATTATAGATTATAAGTTGTATTAATCGTTTTATAATTATACTTATTTCTCACATTCACAGCTTAAATGAGTGAGAAACGAGACACTTTCCAAACGGTCGTACGAAATACCTAATATTACACACAGAAAAATTATTATTAAAAGCATAAACTATAGGATGTTACAATGGTTTGATAGACAATTGAAAAACAACATTTGGGTCGTTCCATATGAAACCATCAAACGAGCTACGCCGCATGATTTTTGATTTTGATAAAAAAAATTGATCAATTTTTTTTGACGCTTCATTAGAATTCTGGAGTTGTGTCATTCCAAACTCTCCTGTATTGAGCTTAACTTTTTTTTTATAACACACATTGAAATGATTGTAACTGTATTTTACTGCCTAAATTTCAAATAATATTATGACTGGCACAACATTTTTTGATTTGCCTTTTATTACACGGAATAAAATGATTGTTTCCAAATTCTGATACATACCTCTTGAAAACATACTTTAAAAAAAATTATATCCTTTAGTGAGGCAAAAATAATAAAACAGGACGTACTGGCATGAAAAGTTTCCAATTTGTATTTTTTCCTCAACATAACGATTTCAGGGGTAGGCTATTTTTAAAAGTTTGCTTATTAAAACTTCCGTTACATTTTCTACTGTATGAGTACTAAATCACGTAAAAATCACCAAAATTATGAAATTATAACGAAGGTTAAGTGGCCCATTGTGCATTGATGACTTGTTCAGAATAGAATTATATTTATATATTTATTATTGAAAGCACACTTCTTAGGTAGTAAAATAAAATTAAAATTATTTCAATGCGTATGATAGAAAAAAAACTACAACCCATAACAGGACATTGGTTACCTAAAAAAAGATCATCCTGAATTAAATAGATTAATTAAATTTATAAAAATAAAAATGTGTCTTAATACACAATAATAACACAAAAACTACTAACATAAAACCTTGGTTTGAAGACAAGTTCGGATCTTTATGAAATACAAGTTGTTCCAAAAAGTCTATAATAAGTTATATTTGATAGAACAAATTTACTAAACACTGCGCAAAATTATAGAGTTAGATTTTCAAAATGACGGAATGGAGCTTTTTTTTAATATGGCTACATGTCAAATAAAAATTCCACACACAAATTACGTGTCCTATTAAAAAAAACATAATTTTGTCGGGTTACTTAAAACGGACACCTGTATAATTTAAAATAATTCTAAGTCCTAGATTTAAATAAGTTATGCCAAACCTGTGAAAACAGCCCATTTGAAACAAAAATAGTAGTCACAATTAAGATTTACAAATAACCCACCTCTATTTTTGAAAGTTTGCATATTTCAAGCAATTTTTACTCCAGAAAAAATCCCAGAACTTAGAAATTCCGTTACATTTTCTGTTGTATGAGTACTAAATCAGCTAAAAATCACCAAAATCAGGAAATTATAACGAAATTTCAGTAGCCCACTATGCATTGATGACTTAAGTTGAAGTTTTTATAAGATTAATAGGGGCAAAATCAGTTTTATCTTAACAAGTACTAGGACCGCCCACCGGCCCCCTATTTTCTCAGAAGATATGTGATTTGCCGAAATAAGTCTTATCTTAGCAAGTACTAGCCCCGCCCACCCACCCTCTATTTTTTGGAAGGTATGCTATTTGCCAAAATCAGTCTTATCATACCAAGTACTAGCCCCGCCCACCCGCCCCCTATTTTCTCAGAGGATATGTCATCTGCCAAAATAAGACTTATGTTAGCAAGTACTAGCCCGCCATTTATTTTCTCACAGGGTGCAAATACTTGCTAAGATAAGTCTTATTTTGGCAAATGAGATATCCCTCTGAGAAAATAGGGGCGGGTGGGCGGGCCTAATACTTGCTAAGATAAGACTGATTTTTGCAGACGCCATTCCCTCTCAGAAAATAGAGGGTGGGTGGGTGGGGCTAGTACTTGCTAAGGTAAGACTTATTTTGGCAAATGAGATACCTCTGAGAAAATAGGGGGCGGGTGGGCGGGGCTAGCACTTGCTAAAATAAGACTGATTTTGCTCCTATTAAACTTGTAAAAACTTGTTACATTTAAAAGGTGTCAAATTACAAATTTCCATAGTAACGAATTAAATTCCTAACTCTTGATTGGATGTTTATTTTTTAACCTCTAAGTTTTTAAAGGTTTGGTTCAAAATTGCCCTTAATGTTAAGATTAAAAAAATTGGTCGCAAGTTGTTTTGACAGAATTTCTTGAGTTTTTTTTATGTACACAATTTTGTGTAAAAATAACAGTATTGCATACCTAGAATTTACTGGGAAAATGAAGTGAGCCGTTCCTGATTTAATCAATAAATTAAATTCACGCATTCACTAATTTTTTTGAGACAGCCTATATAAGCAAATTTAAAAAATAGTAATGCAAGTGTAGACTGATCATATTTTGCACATTTTAGATAGGATTTATCCGGCAATATTTTGAGATGAATTTAAAACATCTGCAAGATTTCAAAGCATTCAGTTTGGCGGATTCAAAATTAAATTACAAAATGTTGTTTCATAATTGTTGATTTTTTTCCGGGAAAAACTCAACACGGAGTCAGAAACTACATGTGTAGGACTGTCTAATAAAATCGGGATGGCAGACAGACAGACAGACGGAAACGGGAGACGCTCGAGAAGTAAAAAATCATCCTCTATTTTTTTCACCAAAATCAAAAATCGTGCGGCGCACTTTTTATTCAAATTTGGTGTTTTCATGTGGAACGATCTATTTACTATTTCAATTATTAATCTGTGTGTACAATTTCGAACAAATAAAAATGTGTCTTAATATACAATAATAAAACAAACACTACTAAGATAAAAGCCTGGTTTGAAGACAAGTTCGAAGCCTTATGAAATACAGGTTGTTCCAAAATATTATTAATATGTAAATATGTTATATTTGGTAAAGCAAACACTTACGTACAAAATTATAGAAGTAATTCTAAATTACCTGTTCTATTAAAGAAAAAAAAAACAGAATTTTGTAGGGTTATTTTAAAAAGGGACACCTCATAATTTTAAAAATTCAACCTATATAAGTCTGCCAAACCTGTGAAAACAGTTCATTTGGAACAAAAATATTAATCATAATTAAGATTTACAAATTGGAAATGTGCATCAGAATTAAGGAATCCAAATACAGATTAATATTTAATAATTGACCGCTTTGTTGAAACAGATAAAGCTTTTTTTAGTTTATCTTCAATATCAATTGCTATGTAAATGTTTATACGCTACGTCATTACATGAATTTACTTGCTGTAAAAATTGTGCTAATAATAATGCAATGATGCGGTTTTTTTTTTAAAATCATGACTTTACAAATAATGAACGCAACGACAACGGCTGAAATTTCTACTGCACATGCGCATAGTACCGATGGAAGATATATTTACTTAATTTAAGCAATACTTGATTAAAGTTAATTAGTCCCTAAACAATTAAGTAAGTTTCATGTCAGTATAGAAGGTTTATAGTGTTTAAATACATATAATACAAAAAAAAAATAATAACTTAAGTAAAAAATTGTGTATTGTTATCACTTTTACTTGTACGTCGGGAAAGTCTCAGCCTTTGTCGCTCCAGTAAAGTTGGTGTCGTTTTTTGTCGCACTAAAACAACAAATATAATTTTTTGGTTGGGAAAATTGCTCCTCTGTAAAAATAACTGTGAAATTAGCATAATCCTTCGTGTTTAGAGATTTCACGAAGTGTAAACATTCTATTTCGTTTTTGCAAGATAAAGTTTATAAAATATTCATCATAAAGTCGTGGGGTGAAATGTTCCGCATCGAATTTTCACAGTAGAAAGATCAGAAACTTTCAAGTGGTGTTGCTTAAATTTCCAAATTGGTTTATGTTCCCGCATCGTATTAACAGTGCGATTGATTATTATTATCGGTCTTTCTGAAACATAAAATTCGAATTTTCAAGAAGAGGGCAATAACTTCACCCTTACGTTTTAAATCTCGAGCACAAACAAGACTTGTCTTCTTACCCCTGAACGTCGAACTTATTATGATACTATAATGGTGTAAACAACAAACAAGGGGCGAATTCAACGCAACGCGCGTACATTTAAAGGGACCTCCGGCTATTCTTTCCTCAGTTTTCAACCCTGTTTTACACTCTCTGAGTAATTTTGTTTTCGGGATATTTTCGGTATTAATGGTTACGATTGAATGTAACTGACGTCTCTTTGTAATTGTTACGTCAGTAGGTATAATAATACCACTTCCGGCACAACCCCCGAAAACATGAGGAAAAATGAGCGTTTTTCATCGAATTATTCAATCATAAAATTGATTACACATTTCATACCTTGCTGGCTTAAAATTACAACGACTTTAAAAATTAAACATAGATTAAGATTTTAATCAAACACAAAAATTAATTTTTTTGATATGTACACCTATATATTCCTCATGATTTATCACTAGATCTTGTGATTTTAACCCCATTTTTTTTATTTTTCTGGCGCTTTAGAAGAGTGGGACAGAAGTGGTATTACTATGTATACTTATGTCATAGCAAATTTATTTACACATGTGTTTTGTTGTTATTTATAAACACAGAATGCGAACGTCGGCAAAAATATTAGCAACAGAAACTAGAGTTTCTCAATATTAAACTACACTGCGTTCACCACTTTAACCCAATCTTTAAACAAGTAAGTAGTTTTTAGAGTTTTTACACTAGATGATGGCTAGACGATTTTGTTGTTATTGTTATCGTTAAATGGATTATTATTTATCTATACATCAGTATTTCACCTATCAATTATATATAACTTGGGAGTTTTGCAAGGGCTCAGCCTTGGTCCTCTTCATTTTTTTGTTTAGATGGGTGACATCGTTTTAATTTTGGAATATAAAATGTAAGTAATGAAAGAAACGAAAATGAAGCTTTTTTATCGTCGCAATGTTGTATACTTTGATCTAAAAAATATCG